ATAATCCACTGTTATTGGGAGTATGATTTTTAACAATTTAACTCATTAAACACAACTTTCACAATCTTAACTATATACATGAGATTCTCAAATTCTTATAATACAATTCTTTGATAGATTTATGTAAAATAACACATAGCTTGGTTCAGCTCATTCTATATATTTGTCCACTTCAGCGCCAAGCCTTACTCCTCGGAGGCACATTGTACTTAGTCATTTTAAACATTGATTTTGGCTAGGTGAAACATGATCTCAATAGTACGGGTAAAAAAATCGTGCGGATTGTTATGGTACAACTGCGAATTGCGCATAATGGTACAATACAAGTGTAAATTGTGCGGAAAAAAATACATGTAGAACAAGTGTGGATTCTATAAGAAAAACGGACTGAATAACACTTGATTGGTGAAAAATAACATCTAATGCAAAATGATTGTAAAAGCAATAATAAAAAAAATTGCTATATAGATTTAATTTTATTCTTACAAAGGGATAAAACAGTTAAAAATACACATTCTGTATAATAATTTTACAAAATTAAGATAATGAAGTTATGAACGTTAGGGGTGGGACGATTCCGGATATCCTGGAATTTCAGAGTATCCGAATCCGGATTCGGAATCGTGACCTCCGGATATCCGGGCTCTAGGAATCGTTTAAAAAATCAGGATATCCGCGGATATCCGGATCCGAAATTAATATTAAAAATAATTAAAATAATAAATAAATAAATATATATTTTTAAGAATTATTAGTTAATATTTTAAATGGTATTTTTTCATTATAAATATAATTTATTATAAAAAGAACTAAAATCAATTTTTATATATATTTATTTATATAAAATTAGTTTAATAGATATATAATATATACGGTTTTAATATATTTAATGCGTCCGGATCCGGATCCGGATATCCGGACCTTAAAATTTTGCTATCCGGATCCGAATCCTCTTTTCACGGATCCTAAATTTTACTATCCTTATCCGGATCCGGACTCTCTGGATATCCTAATTTTCGGAGCGATTCCGAACGGATAACGGATTGGATCTAGGATCCCGGATAATAATTCCACCCCTACTGAACGTAACTA